GTGGGATTTCATTTAAAGCTGTAAAAAAACAAAAGTTCCCAAATGAAAGTCTAATTAATAGCTTCTTTACACGGACCAACAATAGGTAAGGGAATCCACCTTGGTTTGGGGCATTTTTTTGTGAACGTAACTTCCTTCCTCAAAGCCAGAGCAGCCAATGGGCAGGACCACTTAAAGACCAGTGAAGAGAAAAGAGACATGAAGGGAACATTGCAACTCTGAGGCTGACTTCAGGAGTACTTCCCATCCTGCATAACGGATCTTCACTTTACTCTCAGGACACCAGCAAGTTATTCTAGGGTTTCAGGGTTTCAGCTGCAATACTTGTTGATATAATACTAGACAAGTAGAAGAGTTTCTACACCTGGGAATGTCAGACTCATTACTGGATGAGTCTGAAACACCATAACCATCTCTCAGCCACATTTCTAAACTGGCTCACTGTTTTCAGCTGTCAGCTCCTGGAATATCCTTCAGGCTGGAAAACAGCTGAAGGTTATTTCAAGTAACCCTGAAAGATCAGGAGACTTGGATGGAATAATCTCCAGAAAGGTAAAGGCAAGAAAAGAAACCATTGCCTGCTACAAAATTCAGGGTGACAGAAAGAAAACAGAGATTGAAGCTCCCTGGTAGTCTTTAAGGAGCTAAGCAAATTTAGGACATGGAAGAGGAAACAGTACAGCTCTTACTAGGGAAGAGTGATGATGTCCTTAGTCTCAATAAAGAACACAAAAACCTGCTAATTATATGATATTTGCTTTCAATGTCTCTGCCATTGAAACCTGGGAAGCACTTGGACAGGTTTTGCCAGCGTATTTACCAATCATTTTGTCTTTATATATTGGAATCTTGCCATCTATTTTACAATATGTTTGTGTATCAAGAAAATTCATTTAATGCAAAGAACTTCAGACATATAAGCTCTTCTGACTTCCAGACAGTCTTGGAGTTATGTAAAAATATGTGTAGACAGCCTGGACATTTATAGACTGATGACAAAAAAGAAGAGAGATTCTATCCAAATGAAAACTTTCAGTTGCTCGTTTCATGAAAAGTACTCTCAACAAAGAAACAACACATAGGAAGGAGAAGTGTTGTTTGTTTTTAACACCTCAGTTGCATTACTATGATCTAAAACACTGGTGTGATGTTTAAAAATGGATCAGTTCAAGGATAAATCCCTTATTCTTAGGAGCAGGTCATGTTGGCAGTGACTAAGAATGGGGAAAAAAAGTCAGTGAAGTTCATCACTCTTCTAAGCTAGTATGATGGATGAAAAGTAAAGCCAATACCTGACAGTAATTGCAAGAGAAATCTTCTCTCATCATACCTTACTGATATATAAAAAGCACGAGAGATTTATTTATTCACACTTCAAATCTTGATATATACACAGATGGCCTAATTTCCTCGCCTTTACTCTTTGTAAGACCGAAATTAAAGGAAATAAAGGAAGAAAAAAACTGCCAAGAACTAGAAGGCAGGTGTTACTTTCAGTGATTTCTAAGTGTAATAACTGAAGTGGAAGCTTAATGCTTCCTTTCTAATCACATCTCGACAAAAATGCTAATGCCAAATGAGTGCTTTACTGGAGTTCAAATTCTTAAGCATTCAGCTCTGTTCCCTTTTTGGTAGTGCTGGGTGTGGGGGTGTGTGTTGGTTTATTGGGGTTTTTCTTTTTGGTTTGTTCTGGTTCCTGACAGAATTAATCTCCCTCCAAACCCACGATGGTGAAAGACCCCTTGTACTGAGATTATGTGGCCCTCTTACAAGGTAAATCCTACTATATCCATGTTATACCTTAGCCCAGTTGTACTTTTCTCATTTTTAAACTTTTAACAGCTTACTCTTCTGCAGGAGCTCCTATCTGACAAAAGGCTACTCTGCTTTCTCGGAACCTGCTTTTGTTCCTCCACATCCCATTAATCTTCCAGCCACAGTCTCCCATAAAGCAGTCCTTCACACCCCCCTGACAACTGTAGGTAAGCACAGTATGACCGGCAGCCACCTGTGGAAAGTTCAATTACCACTAGAGAGCAGCAATGGACCAGTAATCTACAAGTTCAAAAGAGAATCCAGCTCAGGAAAAAAAAGAAAAAGAAAAAAAAAGTCAGGTGTTTTTTTTTTAAATGGAAATCACAATTTCCTTTGTGGAGAAGAATTAAGTCCTGCGTTCTTTACAGTAGTTCATAAACATATTCTTCCAACTGAAAAAACCTTTTATTTATGATCAGGTATTACCAGAAAGACTTTTCCTCATAGCTTTATCTTCAATCTTTTCTGCATTTTTAACCACTTCCACTGCATTTCTCACCTATGCAGAGGAAAAGAAAACCTAGTATTTTAGCAGCACTGGGGGGGGGGCAAGAAGGGAACTCGGGAAATAATGAGAGAAAGTCTTAGGAAAAAAGCCACCTGGACATCTAGTTGCTACAAGCTGGCTCTACACCTACTCAATGTAGTAAAACATGACTTTGAAATATGAGTTTTAAGAGCTATCTTGTGACATTTCTCCCTAAGCTTTGAGAATAAGACATAAGGCTAAACAGAAGCAGGTACGTACTCCAGCATACAAAGATCAACACAAAGACCTTGTGGCTCTCTGATAAATTTCCACTCGGAGATACTGTTAGTGTCATTTGTAAAGCTGTAAAGGATTAGAGGTGGAAGGCATTAGGGATACGGTAACTGTCAGAAAACTATAGTCAAGACCTTGACACAAATTGAACACATCAGGTTTTTGCATTCAAGTTCTCGCATGCCTTTTTTATTCCCTCAACCAAAACACTGTTGCTTCAATAGCCACAGATTTCAAATGTAACAAGGGTCAAGGGATCTTTTTGATGTAAGCTGTGAAAACTGTGCTTACATCCCAACTAAGCTGTGTTTGAAGCAAAGTTTAATACACTAATGTTGTTCCTTTGACAAGTGGGGGCCCTGCTCCCAGGAAGCTCAGGAGCAGCATTAAAATATCCTCAGCTGATGTCAGAACACAAGTCAATTTGACCAAAGGTACAGCTCAGTGATATGGTTTAGCTGACGAAAAACAAGCTTGCTTCTGCTGAAAGGGCCTCCTCCAGCTCTTCCCTGCCAGCCTTTAGATCCCCCCACACACACTGTTTCACCTCTGATACGCATTAGCTTCATAAGGTCTGAGGGTCATCAAATTTAGTGCACAGGAGGGAGCCAGACGAGGTAGCTGGGAGGCAGGGAGAGGGGAACGTGACTCCCAGTTATTTCTCCCTCCCACCACAGCCCTTAGGTTGGCTCCTCTGTCTTGTCAAACTCTACCACAGGATTCCTTTGACAGCTAATATAGCTTGTAAACAGCAACTCAATTAGCAAATAGTAAGTCCTAGTTAAAATGATTTTCTGATAGAGATTTCTCAGACAATTTGGGAGAAGAGCTTACGTTTCCCAGGTTTAGCTGGGATTCGGATCACAGTGGGTTTCCGGGCTAAAGCTGGTTGAGCTGTCTGTTCCTTTGCAGGTTCACTTCTGGTGAGGAACTGAAATGGATCTAAAAGGAAAAAAAACCCCAACATATTTAATATTTATTTGTTGAACACAAATCTCACTGGGTATTGCTTTCATTATTAAGAACATTTATATTTCACACCCAAGAAAGTCATAAAAAAAAATATAAATCAGGCTGATGCAAACAGCGTACTCAGCTCTTCGTAAATAACATGTCTTTTCTGTACATCTGCAGTCATAGTTGACTTAACATAAACATGCTCCAGATGCCTTCTGGGATTATATAAGCCACTGAACAAGAGGAACTGCATTGCTTGGTAATAGGGACCTGAAATCAGGAGGGCTTTAGGGAAACGTTTTCAAAGCAGTTGCTCTAATATGCAGACATAGCTGTGAACACATTCACTAAAAAGTTTTAATCAATAAAATCTTGCCAAAGCCAAACAGTCAGCACTGCAGCAGATAAAATGCCTACAGAAACAAAACAAAACAAAGCATTTAAATATTACTGATTACAGAATGTCTTTGCTGTAGAACAACTAATTTCCTGGAAGATTCTGCATCATTTTGTTGATTATAAACCTGGTGTCATGGGGGAGACTGGTTCAGACCAAGGACTGGGAGTCGTGCCTGAGCTCTGTCCCTGCCTGTATCACTCATTCCTCTACAAGCCTGTGCAATCATTCCATCGGTAAGACACGAGCAATGTTTTCTATGCTTCAAAAACTTAAGCACTGGTCTTTTATTAATAGGCATGGGAACATATGCGCATGTAGAAGGCAGCTGTAAAAATACTTGTACATAAATAAAATCCAAATCAATGGATTCTTTCTCAAGTACACCTTCATGTCAAAGAGCAATACTTTATTTATACCTCTTCTCTGTTGTTAACAACTGCCACCTTTTTCTCTGACATTACCAAAAACTGCAGTAAAATGGCAACGCCTAACGGTATCGTAAATATGTAAAGTAGAAACTGGAGAAGCACTCCAGACAATAAATTCTCCATGACACATATTCATAGCCCCAACAACCGAGCTTGATCTCCTCTGGTGGCCTTTTTAGATGTGTAGCTCAATGAGATGTTATTTATGGAGTGTCAGAGTCTCTGAGAGGAAATATGCTGGGCATCTCTTTAAATTCTTCAGGACTTTTTATAAAAACATACCCTTTCCCAAAACTACCGCCACACTTTCTGACAAAGTTGGAAGCCCTGTATTTGACAAAATTTTATCTTCAACACTTATGAAAAACAATTTAAAAAATTATGTAACATGAACTCATGATTTCTTATGATTTTGGATATGATCTTATGATCTTTCTTATGATTTTGGATAGTAAAACACAATGCAGTTTATCAAGACACTAGAAACCCCTGTCTGGGAATACACGTAAGATTTAAGAAAATCCAGAAATAGGGTATTTATTTATGAACAATCTCATTAAAAACCTTTTAGCATTTTAATTAAAAAAGCCTTGGCATTTTTAGAGAGAGGGGAAGAAGACCAAGTACATCAAGCTCTGTATATATTTTTTTTTTAACCAAAAATAGGCCCAAAGTAATTTCAGAGAGAAAAAACACTGTGTAATATTGAGCTGCTGCATTAGTGTAATGGACTGCTCTCCTGCATGCACACGACTTGGAGGTCACAGCTCCCGCAGCCTCTGCTGCCGCTCCTCCTTGCCGGGTGCTTCTGCCTGCAGCCGGCAGCCCCCTCTGCCCGTGCCCCCAGCTCTCCCCAGCTCCTGATGCCAGCGCGCAGCTGTAGCAACAGCAAGGACAACACGCTGCAGGGCCCATGCATGCTCACCCCTGCTCAGATGTCCACGTCCCTCTAGCTCCTTGCTTAAGGCTCTCTTCATAGGCATATCCATCACGTACAGGTGTACCATGGGGGTTTGTGCCACGGTCTCTCTCAAAGTCAAGACATCTACCTGCCTACAGGCTGCCCAGAAATCTGCCTGGGTACCTTCACGTCACATTTTAATCATGAATCAAAGCACATCAATTCCTTCTGTCAGGCTGCTTGTACAACAGCTTTGAGCATACACTTCAGGTAGAAAGGATCATGACAGGTCAACGATTTGTCTACAGCTAAAGGTATACAGGCTATAGTTAAAAATAAGCTCTGTTACCATCTAGACAGAAGATGGCTCCATCACATTGTGCCCAAAGACACTGGCCCATCCAGAAACTAGGCACAGGCAACCCACAATGTTTTAGAAGGTAAGGGTAAAACTAATATCTTGTTTAAGTTACGGATTAGCACTAACCAGTAAAAGGTTTAGGTCTCTTCAGGGAAAGCTGCATCAGAGCAAGGATTTTTCTAGGGGACTTGAAAACACGGACTACAAGAGGCGCGCAAGCATTCTGGCAGTATGGTCATCACAAGAAACAAAAACGCCACTCTTAGAGCAAGCCTGCCGTTATAATTTTCTTTTATTCCTTTATACCTATGTCTGCTAGCTACACTGCTAACATTTGAATTGCATTAAAAAAATATGATTTATCTGATCTTAACTCTTACGTTGGTGTTCAGAGTGACTGTAGTGCAGCTGAAAAAAGAAAACCGAAAGCGAGCTTTCTTCTCTCTTACAGTTAGTTATCTGGCAACTCTACGACAGATTTGAGGAGTGACCCTGGCGAGGCAGCAGGGCCTCAAAGCTGCACTGGCCCATTGGGAAGCTGGAGACACAGGGTGAGCAGAGGAAAGGTGAGCAGGGCTAAGTCACGGGCTCCTTGACACAGCAGGACCGTAGGGCACAGGCCAGCACACGGAGCACCTCTCAAGGTCAGGTTCTGCAGAGGTTAAGGAAGTTCTGCATGAACAATGAGGAAACAGTTTTCCAAAGCTTCCATCTTACAAAAATACAGACATCATGAAAACAAGTGGAAATGCTCTAAAACCCCCAAATAATCACAGATCTGTATTCTTGTAAATTTATGGGAGATTTAAAATTGTACAAAATTACTCTTTGTCAGCTGTTAATCATTGCTATGTGTAGAAATGGGTTTCTTGACCATTCAACAGTGGTCTAGGAGAGCAGAGGTCTCTAAATCGATAAATCTGAGAAGTAATTTTTAAGTCTGAGAAAAGTAATTTCTAAGGCTGAGAAAACCATTCAATGAACCTTAGTTTTCCACTCATTATCTTATGTTCAATTATACTGTTGTCACCTCATAATTAGTTTAAAACTCATTGCCTTGTTTGTGTTATTCCATTCCCCAGTGTTGGGTTTGCAGCAGAAATTGGCTGAGTAAATGACTGCGCTGCTTTGTGCAATGGGACTGACAACATATCAAATTTTTATGTTGTTTAACAACAATTGGGTATCGTTTGAGCATAATTCACGGAGGTGTGAAAACAGAATTGTTAATATACTCTAATTTAAAGCTTCTCAGCTCAAGGAAATTAATCTGCAAGGCATTTTTCATAACAAATATCAACAGACTTCTATCATTTTTTTTTTTATTAAACTTTTACAATGATGCTTAAAGCCTGTGTCTTCCTTAGTCTCACTTTTCTACAGCTTCTGTTTCAAAGGTTTATGTGATAACATATATTACCGTGCTTGTTCGCAGGAAAGACAAATGAAAGCTGTGTATTCAACTACACCGTATATCATCTCTTTCTTTTACCAGTTTAGGAGAGAGTTCCTCCCCAGCCCTTCTCATTTACCATCCTTGTTTAAAATAAAAAAATAGGAGGTTACAGAACAAACAGTAGGTTTTGCCCATGTGAGCAGGTCAGATGGATATCTTTCTGAAATATTTATTGGTAGTTTTTAAGTAAACGGTCGTAAGATGGTAACAGATACCTCAGCAGCAACAAGGGGAATCTCCAAACAAATCAGATGTAGAAAGCTAAAAGCACGGAACAGTAGTATCTGCTGTGAAGATGCTCAGTCCTGCAAGAAGTACTCTCAGGACACATGAGAACAACGTAGTATGAAAGGTGTTGATGCTGACATTACACCACTTGCCACTACGGAAGTATGCAACTGTGTTTACTTTCAATGTTTAATTAAAAAACCTAAATCAGCTGTTAAAGGCAAAGCTCACACATTCTCTTCACACAGAACAGTACCGTTATCGGGGTCTCCCAGGAACAGAGAATAGAGTCAAACCTCATCAACAAATGTTTTTATTAAAACCTAGCCCCATGAAACCACTCTGGTGTTTGTGGAAGTATATTTAACCCATACTTGGGGGAAGATTTTCAACAACAGGCCCCTCTTGGTAATATAGGAGGAGATTCAATGGAAACCTGACAGGTAACATCCCAAAGAGGAATGGGGTCCATGCTGAAGAAACACTGTGAAATGCTACAACCAAAAGTCTGATGTTCACTCAGATGCTCTAAATCTCAACCTATTTACAACTATAAACGGATATATTAGACAGGTATCCTGCCTAAATTCCGGCATCAGTGATTTTCCCATCTCAGTTTTCCCCAGTATTTTTCATCACCGAAATTAACAGTTCACTGTTCTTAGAAATGGTATTTCTGACCCAGAGAACACAATATGGACTACACCACCTTTCTCAAAATATGCAATTTGCAGCTCCCTCTGCATAGAAAATTGCCGTAATCTGGTCACAACCATATCTTTTAATAGACTGGGAAATTAAAAAAGAAAAAGGGGAAAAAAAAAAGAGAGAGAGAATGGGATGCAGGCTATTTCAGGATGTAATTTGTGCATAACCTGAAAGTAAGCTCTGGTGAAACTCAGGCTTCTCAGCACTCTCCTAAGACTAGGAGAATAGACCAGGTCACTCAAATAAAAGGAATACAGTATTCAGGAGTAGACTTAGTATGGCTTCAGTCTTAAAATTGGAGCAGAGACAAGCAAATCTGCTATCATAATGTTCTAGGATTTCTTTCTCCCCAGTCTACACAGAGGTTTTTCATGACTAGCCCAGTTATTTTGGTAGAGGCTATGAACGGCCTGTGTGGTCCTGCTTCATTCAATGATTTATAGTTCATCAGGCCAAGGAGATTTGCTTTACCTGATATGGCCCATTTAGTCAAACAGGTACTT